TTCGGTGGAGCTCCCTATGGGGCCACGAAACGTGTGAGGGGTGTGCCGAAATGGGGGGTGGAACCGCATGCGGACGCAGCCACTGGGGCCTTCGGTGGAGCTCCCTATGGGGCCACGAAACGTGTGAGGGGTGTGCCGAAATGGGGGGTGGAACCGCATGCGGACGCAGCCACTGGGGCCTTCGGTGGAGCTCCCTATGGGGCCACGAAACGTGTGAGGGGTGTGCCGAAATGGGGGGTGGAACCGCATGCGGACGCAGCCACTGGGGCCTTCGGTGGAGCTCCCCATGGGGCCCCGAAACGTGTGAGGGGTGTGCCAGAATGGGTGTGGGAGGGGGAGGAGGGGGGAGGAAGGAGGGAGGAAGGAGGCGGGAACGCGGGGCACCGTCTCTTCAAAACGAGGACCCAAAAGCAGTACGCGGGGGGGGTCGGCCACTCCCAGCACGCCATCAGGGGAAGAGGGAGAGTAGTATTCATATTGAGTAATTATAGAGGGAGAGGGAGGGGGAGGAGGGGGAGGGGGAGGGGGAGGCGAGGAAGGAGGAGGAGGAGGGGAGGAGGAGAGGAAAAGGAGAGGAGGAGGAGGAGGAGGAGGAGGAGGAGGAAGGAGGAGGAGGAGGAGGAGGAGGAGGAGTGGAAGCAGGAGAGAGCAGGAGCAGGAGGAGGAGGAGGTAGGGAGCAGGAGGAGAGGAGGAGGAGGCAGCAGCAGGAGCAGGAGGAGGAGGAGGAGGAGGAGCAGCAGGAGAAGGAGGAGGAGGAGGAGGAGGAGGAGGAGGAGGAGGAGGAGCAGGAGCAGGAGGAGGAGGAGGAGCAGGAGGAGGAGGAGGAGGAGGAGGAGGGTAGAAGGAGGAGGAGGATGGAGAAGGAGGGGGGAGGAGGGGGAGGAGGAGAGGAGGAGAAAAGGGAGGAGGAGGAGGAGGAGGAGGAGGAGGAGGAGGAGGAGGGCGATAGGGAGGGGGAATGAGGAGGAGGAGGAGGAGGAGGAGGAGGAGGAGGGGGAGGAGGAGGAGAAGGAGGAGGAGGAGGAGGAGGAGGGGGAGGAGTAGAAGGAGGAGGAGAGGCTCTCGCTTCCACCCACCCAGTGTCATGTCGCATTGATCTTAGCCTCGCAATGCCTGGGTGGTACACCTTCTGTGCAGCCTCTTCCGCTTGCCAGCCAGGCAGCACCAGAGAAGGCGCAGCGGCGCAGCAGCAAAGCCTTCCTGCTTCTAGGCAAGCGAGCACGCAAGCGAGCAGGCGGCGGTCGACCAAGCGGCGGGGCGCACCAAAACGAATTGAGGCACGAAGGCGCGGGAGGACCAGAGGGGCGGAAAAGGATACAGTGGAGGCCAGTCCACAAGGAACACCCCACAAGAAACCCAACCCTAAGACCCCAGGACGTCCACCTATGTTTGGTATGGGAATGTCACGCCTTACATTGCAAAGCCATCGGAACCCAAGAAACCCGGGGCACCCCGAAGGCACGCAGGGTATTTCTTGGCATGTGCCTCCACTGTAAGGCTGGTCAGAACATGTCGCTCTTCACGGGCGTGGCGGAGCCGTGCGCAGCAGCGCAACAGCCGATCGGGCCGAATCGAACGAACGCAACCGACTTCGACACAGCAGAGCCGACCGAACCGCGGACACCTCTGGGACCCTGCCGACAGAACCGCGGACACTTCTGGGACCCCAGGTGGCAAAGGATGCGGATATCCCCCCAGAGGGGCCGAACATGTCGGTGTTCATCGCGGGAATCCACAAGGCGCGCGTTCCTGAGGGAGGTTCGCACAGCATGGCACGAGGCATGTGCGCGCGCCAAGGGAGGCCAAGGCACGCCTCGAAGAAGAAGCTGGGGCCATGACATGCGGCAAGACTTCCCGGCCCCGGCCCCGATGCGGAAACCGCGAGGTGTCGATACCCGCTCTTCCCCAGAACCCCTCCTCGGGGCGCCTTCTGACTGCAATCCCGGGGCGAACCCGGCGCTGGCGACGAGGGCCTCCCGGGAGGCCCCACACGGCGACAACGATCTGGGTGCCTTCCTCCGCGGACCTCGGCCGCCCCCGCGTGCACCGCCTCCCGGGGTCCACGAAGTGGGAACAAGGAAAGGCGACACCAACACCGCCAGTGGCGAGGCGATGCGAGGAGGCAAGTCCCCGGTGGTGTGCCCCCCCCCCCTCGCTCGGGACATCCCCAGCCTCCAGCTCTCCTCCTCCTCCTCCTCCTCACTTGTTCTTCCTCTCTTTCTCCTCCTCCTCCTCATCCTCACTTCCTCCTCCTCCTTCTCCTCTCTTCTTCCTCCTCCTCTTCCTCCCTTCTTCTTCCTCTCTTCCACCTCCTCCGCCTCCGCCTCCTCCTCCTCCTCCTCCTCCTCCTCCTCCTCCTCCCTCCTCCTCCTCCTCCTCCTCCTCCCCCCCTCCTCCTCCTCCGCCTCCTCCTCCTCCTCCTGGTGGTGCTGGTGTCGCTTCTCTCCCCTCCGACGAAGGAGCCGCCCCCCCGGGGGCGGGTGCGCGCACGTCCCCGCCTCGGCGCCCCTGGGGCCGAAGAGCCCCGCGTAGGCGCCCAGCAGCCTCGGGATCGGAGGGGAGGGCGCCGCGCGCCGCGCACGACGACGCCCAGCGGCTCGAACAAACAACAGAACAACAGTATCCATGTACGCCTTTGGAGGCCCGTGCAGATTTCCTGGATCTGCGCTGGACCCGCCCTCCCTGGCGCGCGGAGGGCGCCAGGCTTGGCGCTGGAAGCGCGGCCAGGAGGGGCCCAACGCAGATCAAACAATTCGGCGCGGACCACCAAGATTTCATGTTTATGCCGTTGTTTATGTTTGTGCCCTTGGTTATGTTCTTCTTCTCCTTCTTCGTCATCATCATCACCATCACCATCACAATCCTCCTCCTGCTCCTCCTCCTCATCATCACCAGCTGCATCATCCGCACCACGATCGCCATCATCATCATGGCCCTCAGCATCATCATCATCATCATCATCATCATCATCATCATCATCATCATCATCATCATCATCATCAGCATCATCAGCAGCATCATCATCATCAGCATCATCATCATCATCATCATCAGCATCATCATCATCATCACCAACATCAGCATCAGCATCACCATCATCATCACCACCATCATCATCAGCATTATCGTCACCATCATCATCATCATCGTCATCATCACATCCATCATCACCATCAGCGGCATCATCATCAGAATGAACACCATCATCAGCATCACCATCATCGGCATAATCAGCATCATCGTCATCATCATCTTCATGCTAATCACCATCATCATCATCATCATCATCATCATCATCATCATCATCAGCATCAGCATCACCATTATCATCATAATTAGCAACAACAGCCACAGCAGCATCGGCACCAGCATCTGCAAAACACATCATCAGCGTCAGCATCAGCATCAGCATCATAATCATCACCAGCATCATCATCATCAGTATCACTATCATCCTCATCATCCTCATCATCACCATCTTCATCATCATCCTCATCATCAAAATCATCATCAACTTCAACATCGTCATCATCATCATCAGCATGGCCACTATCATCATCATCAGCATCATCGCCATCATTTTCATCAACATCATTACCGCCATCATCATCATCATCAGCATCAACATCATAGACATCGTCAGCATCATCACCATCACCACCATCATCATCATCATCAGCATCACCATCATCATCATCAACGGCATCACCATCTGTTTCGTCATCATCATCAGCGTGCTCGTCGTCGTCAGCATCCTCATCGTCCTCGACGACGTCCGCGTCGGTTAGCGCCCCCCCGGCACCACCTGTGGATATAGAACAGGCTGGCGTCGAGCGACAGTTCGGACCGAGCAAAGCGCCTGGCCTCCGCCGCGATGCCCTCGCACTCCAGGTCGTGCCCTCGTGCCCACTCCAGCACGTCGACCAGGTCGCCCAAGTCCTCCACCGGCGCGCCGCGGAAGGCGGGCCCCCAGCGGGGGAGGGGGGATGGGTCGCGGCGACGCAAGGGGAGGAGGATGGAGGAGGAGAGGGAGGAGGCGACAGGAGGAGTGAGGAGTAGGGCAGAGGAGGAAGGAGGAGGAGGAAAGGAAGGAAAAAGAGATGAGGAGGGGGATGGCGGAGGAAGAAAGAGGAAGGAGGAGAAGGGAAACCCAATAAACGTGCGGTGAAAGAAACGAGGGGGCTACGACATCTGAACCGAGAAGGGGCGTCCAAGAGGAGGGAATCCAAGAGGCGGGTTCACAGATCATGGCCCGAGGCACATGCGCGGCCCACGGGGAAACCAAGGGACGTTTCTGCGGCAATTCATGGGAGCCTACCGTGACATCTTCTTGTTGGTTCTCTTGCGAACCGACCCTAGCGACCGACGCTGAAACGACGCGGCACCACGCCGATCGACGCTAACCAACTGAATCGGCGCGTTCTCAGCGATGACCGGACGCTAGCGCGCGCTCGAGCACCCCATGGACGAAATGGCGAGCACACACAGGGCTCGAACGAGCTGCTATACCGAACCGACGAGGGGGCCACGACCTCGGTGCAGGTCTCTGGCCCGGGCCGCGACGTCCCCCCCCCCACTGGTCATTGGGCGGGGGCAAGGGACCTGTAAAGCGTACCCACCGCAAAGCGTACCCACCTTCCACACTTCGGGAAAGTGTTCCGCATTTTTTGGAATGCTATTCCGCGCAGTATTCTGTGCGTACCGTTTCATGGACCTACTCACGCACGGTCGCCAGGGGGGCTATGTCAATTCGCTCAACCCCGTGGCGCGGCCCCAGGGGCCACCGAAACACGCGGCACATATTCTTTGCAGCGTGCGTGCCAACTTGTAAACGCTAGAACACGCGTGTGAGTTTCACTCGGAAATACTACACTGCGCAAGCACAAGTGCACTTCTGTTGACGTTTTCTGACACCCGCGCAACCCCAACGCGAGGGGAAGGGGGAAGGGGGAAGGACTGGGCGGAAGGAGGGAGGACAGAGGACGGAAAAGGGAGCAGGGAAGGAAAAGGGAGGGAGGAGGGAAGACAACGAGGTTGTCGAATCTGCCACGTGCGACGCCCACGCGGGCCTGCGGCTGGCTTGTCGCCGCGCGCGCTGGCGGGCGCTGCGGCCTGCGCCTGAGCCCCAAGACAAAAGCAATGCCATCGGGTCTTGGGCCGACCTGGTGGCTCTGCGGTCTCCTACGGCGCCTTCGGGGGATTCCTGAAGGCCTCCTCGCCCCTCCCACAGGTTCGTCCCCTGGAGCCCGAGGGCCGTTGCCTCGGTGGAAGAGAACCCCACAGGGCTCCAGGCGAGTGCCTGCTTCCCTAGGGCCACGTCCCAGAGCCCCTCCCGCGCCGCGGACCCCGTCCCCGCGAGTTCCGGAACAGTGTTCCTGGACTCGCGGAATACTTGCCCGCCGGCTGGTTTGGGGGGTACGCTTTACTGGTCTGTTCGCCGCCCAGACCCTGGTGGGTACGCTTTCCTGGTCTGTTCCCCGCCCAGACTGGGGTGGGTACGATTTCCTGGCTTGATCGCCGCCCATGGGGGGCGGGATCCCTGTAACCGTCCTTTCAGCGAGCCGAGGCCTGGGTGGGTACGCTTTGCTGGTCTGTTCCCCGCCCAGAGAAATAGCGTCCCCTGGGTACGCTTTGCTGGTCTGCTCGCTGCCCAGGGTCGTGGGTACGCTTTCCTGGCCTGTCCGGCCTCCAACACAAACGCCCCGGAACAGTGTTCCGTCGAGCGCGGAACACTGTTCCGCACGGAGGGGAATTCAGGCCCCCTTCCGCAGGGGCCCTGCCTCCAGGTCACACGGACCCCGAGGAGGACCCCGAGCCCCCTGAGCATGCCAGGACGCGGGCCCCCGAAGCAGCTCCAGAGACACAGCCCCAAACACCAGGGACGCAGGATGGGGGGGGGTGAGGGGCGGAGTCGGACTCTGGAAGGACGGAAGGAGGACGGAAGAGGGGACGAGGAAGAGGGAGGAAGAGAAAGGAAAAGAGGAAGAGGGACGAAGGAAGGAAGAGGGGGGAGGAAGGAGGGAGGAAGAGGGAGGAAGAGAGACGAAGGAGCGAGGAAGGAAGACGGGAAGAAGAAGGGGGAAAGAGGGAGGGCTGACGGAGGGAGGGAGGGAGGGACTGAAGGGCGGAGGGATGCAGAGACGGAGAGAGGATGAAAAAGAAGGTACGCGTTGCACTCACAGCCGCGCGCGATATGGATACGTGGGCACACAGCTAGCGTCCAAGCCATGGCTGGATTCCAAGAGTGTCAATAGGAGCTGTCGAGCGATAGTGTTGTAGGATGTCCGACTTCCGCCCTCTGTCAGCCGCTTCTCTTCAAAAGGAAGGGGAAGCCCACCACCCCCCAACGAAAAACCAGATGAACGGACAACTAGAGCTCCCGTCTACCCACAAAGATGATGAAACGCAGGTAAGCAATCAGTCGCTCTACATATGATGTATCAGTGGGCGACACTCCACACGTGGGTACGGTTTACTGGCTCACTTTGGGTGGGTACGCTTTACAGGTTTGATGTTGGCTCCCTAGGTCAGCGTCCCCCCCCCCCCGCGGCAGTCGCCGAGGCCGGGGGCGGCCTCCCGTGAGTCCGCCGCGTCTCTCCTGTGCGCCTTCGGTGCCTTCTTTTCCTTCCCGGCCCGTCGCTTTCGCCAGGATCCCCCCCCAAAAGTACATGGTCCCGATCGCGCAGAGACGAGAATGAGAGGATTGGCACCCGATCCCCCCCAAAAGTACATGGTCCCGATCGCGCCGAGACGAGAATGAGAGGGTTGGCACCCGCTGGCCACCCTGTCTCTCAGGGGCCCCGCCGCCTTCTGGTGAGGCCTTCCCAGGGAGGCCTCCGGGAAGGAGCCCGATCGTTTTGAGGAGCCCCACTGGGCTCTCCGGAAGCTGCCGCCCCGCCCCAGAGCCCTTGAGTGCGCAGCCGAGCTCCTCCTGCACGGGCAAGAAGTGCGCGTGGGGGCGCAGGCCGGGATCCAGCCACACCTGAAGCTGCGAGGTCTGGCGCATCACCACAGCCCCCGTCAGCAACAGCCAATACATGCGATCCGAGAACGACGATAGAAGACGAAAAAACTCCATGAACATAAACTGTTGGCGCTCCGCGCGGATTTCTCGGATCCGCGCTGGACTCCCCTGCCTGGCGCGCGGAACGTGCCAGGGGCGGCGCCGGCGGCGCCGCCAAGGGAGTCCCAGAGCGGATCCCAGAAATCCGCGCGGAGCGCAAACCAACTTATGCCTATGTCGTTTTGTCGTCTTCGAGACGAGCCGTCCACGTACATCAGATACTTGTACTCGAGGTGGCCGCTGGGGGGTACCAACTGATCGACGTGGAGGTCGCTCTGCAGGTAGGCCGGCCTGCACTCCGCGTGCACGCTGTCCTTGGTGAACTTGGCGTCCACCGCGCGGTACGTGGCAGACCTTGGCGCTGCCACGGGCCGCCTCCACAGTGCCTCTGCCTCCTCCTCCTCCTCCTCCTCCTCCTCCTCCTCCTCCTCCTCCTCCTCCTCCCCTCCTCTGCTGCGGAGAGTCCGAGGGCGGCCAGGAACAAAAACCGGGGGGAACAGGAAGGAGGGTGATGACAGGACGAGAACGATATCGTGGCAGGACTGGCTCAGGATATGTTCGACGAGTTTCAGGAATGCATCTAGGGGTCGCGCTTCCTGCTACCCGCGCGGAACAGTTGGTAAACTCGGGAGCCCTGGGCATCCGGGACCGAATAATTATCAATACCTCTTGCTCCACTGGGAGAAGGGTTGGGGTTGAGGAGGGAAGCAGGGGATGGAAGCGAACTGGGGGGGCTGGCATGGATACATCTCATCCCCATAATGGGCTTTCAAGGTCGCCGGGAACAAACACTCTGGGGGGAAGGGCGGCCAAGAATAAAACACCTGGAGGGGGCACGGGAAGGCGGGGTGATAGAGGGGAGGGTCGTTGGAGGGTGAGGAGTAGAAGAGAAAGAAAGAACACATAAACATAAACTTTTGGTGCTCCACGCGGATTTCTTGACGGAGCGCGCCAGGGGCGGCGCCGGAGGCGCCGCTGGGGTGGTTCCAGCGCTGATCCTGGAAACCCTCATGGAGAGCCAACATCTTATGCTCATGTAAGTTTGTCTTCTTCGATCGTTGGAAGGAAGAAAGGGGAGGAACTGTGGGTGGGGGAGGGGGGGGGAGGACAAACGGGCATGGCACAAGGCTTCGCCATCGCCTTCGCCTGCCTCCCACGACGTGCCCCCGCCTCCGCGCGTTCGCTCCCGCGCGCGCCTCGGGAGGGGAAGGGGTGCAATAAGAGGACAGTCCACCGGAAACACTCCACAACAAAACCCAGCCGGGAGAGGACTTTCACGGATTTTCGGTATGGGAGCGCTTCCCATAGCAAGACCACCGAGACCCGAGAAGCCCAGGTCACCCTGGAGGCGAGCAGGGTTTCTCTTGGCATGGGCCTCCACTCTGTGGGGAGACGGCTGGGGCGGCAGAGCAAATCCACAGACGAAGCATTAGTCGCTGCAGCGCAAGCTCGCCCAGAGTGTGCACCCAGGGAAGACGCATCCAAAATGCGCACCCCTCCCCAGGACTGATGTTTTGTCCTGGCCCCGTTTCCTGGGCGGCCCCAGGCAGAGCATGAATGAGAGGCCCCAAGAGCACACGCAGAGGAAACACACCCATAGTAAAACAATCACATCGTCGGAAATCTGGGAGGACGCAAACGCAGCCGGCGGGGAGGAGGGTCGCGCCGGGCGCCAGGCAACAGGGCCAGCTTCGCGCGCGGGAACCTCGGCCAAGTGTGTAAGTTCCTGGGGGCACGAAAATAGCACCGCTCCGAACAATGGCGAACAACGATGAAAACAAGTCAATCTGGGGGGGCAGTTGAACAAATGTTTATTCCCAGCGCTTCAGTGCGCATATAGCAAACAAATGGAAGGCGGGGGAAAACGGACCGCCGGGGACGACCCCGCGACGGCCCTGGCGATCCGCGTGCAGGGGCGGAATCTGCGCACCACCTCCTGGCGACAGGCAGCGCCTGCCACGCCCCGCGAACTTGGCAGGTCTCGAGACTGCGCTCAGGGACGGGACCGCACCCTGCGAACCCTCTCTGGGTCGCGAGCGTGCTGCACCTGACACGCCCTGCGACCTGGAGTGGATCGGGACCGCGCTCAGGGACCATTCCATGCACGCCCTCACTGGCGTCGAGAAAACGCCGCCGCGCGCGCGGAGGCCTCGCTTCACTCTTCGCGTGGAACACCAACGGCGCGCGAGGGGCAAGGCCGGCCTTGCCCGAGAAACGCAAGGCCGTAGCACTTCCGCTGCGGAAGCCGCACGCGCGATCCGAACTGGAAAGCCGCGCCCGCACGCCGCGCCCGGGAGGCGCGCGGTCGCGCTGGGCCCATCCGTCTCCAACGACGACCGAGCGCAAAAGCTGGACGCCACCGCGCGCACGCTCGCACAGTCGCGAGCGTACACACGTAGTGTCCCAGCAAGACGGAAACGACCTAGTCGTCGACCAAAGTAGCCTGCATATTTGCACGCATGCTAGTCATTCGCGTATTCCCATGCATGCGCGTGCGTGCGCGTGTATACAAATGTTTGTATATAGTGCGGGGTGACGATTCATGAAAATAGGGGAACGATTAACAGCATCGCAAGATGTTTGTCTTCAATATGACGTTCAACGGGAGGATACGAAATTTAAAAATGTATATTACACGTCGGTTTCGAACTTCACGTCGTCGTCAAATCATAATCCGACGTCGACTTCAAAGTACACGTCAAATACCAAGTCTAAGGCGGTGTTCAACTTTTACGTCAAATTCCCGTTCCACGCCGTTCCTCGCTTCACGGCCCGTCGGCTGTCCCGGCGCTTGGCCGAGGACGGCAGGGGGGGAACGATTGAAAAAATAGTTTCCCCGGGACACAATAATAATACCAAAGGATCTGGGGAAAAAAACATTCAGAATCATTGGAGCCCGCCCGCGGCCGGTTTTTTCTAATCATCCTCCGGGGCGCCGCCGACGCAACACGACCCCTGGTCATTTCTTAATCGTCATCCTACATTACATGCATATAAATCACAGCGTTCGGCCTCCGTGGAGGATTTTTCCGCGGGGGGCAGCTAACAACAAATTGTATGCGGCGGCGAATGCATGGCAGTCGGGATCCATGTGGGGGGGAGGGGAGATCTTTTCTTGGTTCTCAAGTTTCGGACATTACTCCGCGACCTCTCCCACGGCGCGTTCGGATTAGCCAATCGTGGCGACGAGATCTTCGTAGATGAACAAAAAAGCATAAACATCCCGTTTGGAGTTGCGCGCAAATTTCTTGGACATGTGCTAGCCCGCCCCCCCCTGGCACGTGGTGCGCACTAGGGGCGGCGCCGGAGGCGGCGCCAGGGGGGTCGACACTAGATCGATGCGAAACGATGCTAGGTCGGCGCTCTCTCATCGATTACCAAGCGCTAGCGCACGCTGACGCGCTCTAACGGATGGACTTGCGAAGACACGCCAAGCCCCCATGAATGCGACCGAAGGAACCCGCTCGTGACGACGAGAGCTCTCCAGAACGAGCACCGGTATTGGCACCTATTCCTCCCCTGAGCTTTGAGCAGGGAACGGCCCCTCGATCTGCGAGACCGGCCGCGTGACACGAACATTTGCGTAATGTGTACTGTCGAGACCAGCGTGGATTCATGTACGTGTACGTCCTTCTTTCGCTCCTGAACGACGAGATCTCTCCAGAACGAGCACCGGTATTGGCACCCATTTCTCCCCTGAGCTTTGAGCAGGGAGCGGCCGTCCCGGCATTCTTACAGGCCTACCGGGGAGTGTTCTTGGAACCCCCTAAACCATGTTCCAAGAGCAGCGCTCTTAGGACGCAGGCCCGACGTGTCATAACCAAGCCAGCCTCGGCCAGACATGCTCTGATGACATGTCGTGCAGACCACAAAAGGTCATTGTAACATCGTTTCCGGTGGGCCTACAGGCAAGCCAGAACGAGCAGCGGCATTTGGGGAAACCAAAAGGTACCAATACCGCTACTCCCCAGACCTCTCCCGGGCTGCGTTCTGACTCGCCTTTCGAGGCGAATCCAGCGGCGGCGACCAGGGCCTCCCAGGAGGCCTACGACAGGGAGAACGAGAGAAGGGCAGATGTACGGGTACCTCTTCTCCTCTGAATGCTCCCCGCCGCTCGGACGTCCCTTCCCCTGTGCCTTTTTCCGGTTTCGTGCGTGCTGTTTTCTTGTTTTCCGCAGGATGATCCAGGATGCTCCTGAAACAATCCCCGCCGAGAAAAAAAAAAAACACACACGCCCGAGCGATGCCGAGAGTACTGCCGAGCCTTTTTGAAGGGGCCCTAGGACACACAAATAAATACACACAAATAAAAGGACTCCCCATATTTTCTAGGTTTCTGTCTTCCCCCCCACTCCCCATATTTTCCCACATTATCCTGGGAGTGGACGACAAAATGTGTCTGTGTGTTTTTTCGCCTCCTGACTTTTCCTCCCCCGAGCTCCAGTCGCTGCACGAGCACACCGTCGGGCCCGGCGCGGAGGGCGCGGCGCAGCCGCCGGGGAGCAGGCAGCCCGTGTCCGAGCCGCGCCAGAAGAGGGTGGCGGCTCTGCGCCCCCAGGGCACCTCGGGGGAGCAGCAGCGGCACATCCCTCCTCGCTGCTCCTCCTCCCCTCCTCGCTGCTCCACCCTCCTCCACCAACTCCGCCTCCAGCCCTCCTCCTCCTCCTCCTCCTCCTCCTCCTCCTCCTCCTCCCTCCGCCCTTCTCTGACTCTTCCTACGGCTCCTCCTCCTCCTCCTCCTCCTCAGCCTTCGCCTCCTCCTCCTCCGCCTCTTCCAGCGCATTCCTCCTCCTTACCAGCAATAGCAACAGCAGCAGCAGCAACCACCATCATCATCACCATTATCGTTAGCATCCTCAACAACAACATCAACATCAGTAGCATCATCAGCAGCATCATCAGCATCATCATCAGCATCATAATCGTTGTCGTCGGCATCAACATCAGCATCATCATCGTCATCATCATCAACAACATCATCATCCTCGTCAACATCATCGTCATCATCACCATCGTCAACATTCTCATCGTCATGCTTACACTATCATCCTCATCCTCATCCTCCTCGCTGCTCCTCGCTCCTTCTCTAACTCCGCTTCGATCCCTCCCGTCATCCTCTATCCTCCTCCTCCCTCAACCCCTCACCAGTCCTTCGCCCTCCTCCTTCTCCTCCTCCTCCTTCTCGCCATAATCACGATCACCATCATCAGCAGCATCAGCATCAACATCAATATCATCATCACCATCATCACCGTCATCATCATCATCATCATCATCATCATCATCATCATCATCATCATCATAATCAACATCATCCTATTCCGCGTCGTCACCGTTGTCGTCATCGTCGTCGTCAGCAGCATCATCACCCGTCAAAGATCACACATCACCGACCACCCATCGCCCATCATCCGCCACCCTGCATCACCGTTCATCATCTGTGGCATCAACGTCAACATCAGCATCATCAGCATCAGCATCCTAGCCAGCGTCAGCTCAGCAGCAGCACCAGCATCATCAGTATCATCTGTATCATCAACATCATCCTGATCATCCTCATCAAAATGCAAATCCTCCTCCTCATCATCATCAATATCGTCATAAGCAGCATCAGCATCAGCAGCAGCACCAGCAGCACCATCAACAGCATCAGCATCAGCATCAGCATCGTCATCGTCATCGTCATCGTCATCGTCATCGTCATCATCATCATCATCATCACCATCATCATCATCATCATCATCATCATCATCATCATCATCATCACCATCATCATCATCATCATCATCATCATCATCATCATCGTCATCGTCATCATCATCATCATCATCATCATCATCATCATCATCACCACCACCACCACCACCACCACCACCAGCATCATCATCATCATCATCATCATCATCATCATCATCATCATCATCATCATCATCGCCATCGTCATCGTCATCGTCATCATCAGCATCGTCGTCATCATTATCATCAGCATCACCAGCATCATCCCTATCCTTATACTCATTCTCATCCTCGTCTCTTGCCTTCCCTGCCGTTTCTCCCCTCCCTCCCTCCTCCTCGCCCTCCTTCATCCTCCAACAAATAATCTCGATCATGGAGAAACCAACAAGTACCGACTCCACTGCTCCTTTTACCTCTGCCAAGATGCGTTCTGACCAGACTCTCGGGGCGAATCCGGCCGTGTGGACGAAGGCCGCCCAGGAGCCCCAAAACGATAAAACGAGGCAGATGTCGCGGTGTCGGCACCTGTTCCTCATCTGCGATGATCCCCTCCTCCAAACGTCGACGACGACGACCATGACGACGACGACGACGATCAACCTCCTGGGGGAGCCAACGGAAACAATACCGCTACGCCCCGGACCTCTCCCGGGGCGCGTTCTGACCAGAACTTCGAGGAGTCCCGCCGTGGCGACGAGGGATCTACAGGACGAGAAGCAGCATCAGTATGTAGGAGCGCGTTTCTATATTTTCGCCGATAATGGGCATTATCGTTAAAACGGCGTGTCCCCCTACACGGGGATTTTCCACGAAAAACGACAAATACTCCAACAATGCTGCAAAATTGTCAAAAATAGTCAAAAAGTAGTCCCCCGATGTTTTAACTATTTTTGAATATTCCCCGTGTAGAGGGACAGGCCCGACTTAACATTATAGGGGAGGGGGGGAGGGGCCAGAGGGGGGTAGAATGTAACGCCTCCCCCCGCCGTGCGCCCGGCGGCAGTGCCCAGAGCGCACTGGGGGGGGGTGGGGCGTTACGTTATAAGGGGGAGCGGGGAGGGGGGGCCGGGGGCTATAATGCCCATATGCCCCAAGCAATCAAAAAATGCGATCTAGCATGTATCGCGCGAGGCCCACCTCCATCGAGATCCTCCCCCTCCGACTCCGACACTCGACGACGACGGCGAGCCTCGAGGCCCTGCGACATGACCTGCCCCGCGGTGCGCCGGGACCAGTCGAGCGACAGGGTCGCCCACCAGGGCATCTCGGGGCAGCCAGGGGCGCGGTGGTTTGCTGAAGTGCAGCTTTTCATCCTTCCCGCCATCCTCGAGGCTCGAGGATTGACGATCGACGATTGATCGTCGAGGTTTGATCCTCGAGGGTGTTAAAGGGGATGACATTTGGACGCTTCCTCCTGGCCTTTTTCTCCTCCATCCTCCCCCTCAGCATCCCTTCCGCCTCCTCCCCTCCTCCCCTCCCTCCTCTATCCTTGTCTTCTCACCCTCTCTCCCCTTCCTCACCGTCTCAGTCCTCCTCCTCCTCCTCCCCCACCTCCTCCTCCTCCTCCTCCTCCTCCTCCTCCTCCTCCTCCTCCTCCTCCTCCTCCTCCTCCTCCCCCTCCTCCTCCTCCTACTCGCACACTGTTCTGCCTCCTGGTCGTGGTCCTGCTCCTCCTCCTCCACCTCCGAATCCTCTCCCTCCTTCTCCTACGCCTCATCCTTGTCCTCCCTCCCTACATCCTTTCCGTACTCCACTCTTCCTCCTCCTCCTCCTCCTCCTCCTCCTGCTACTCCTCCTCCTCCCCTTCCTTCCGCCTCCTCCTCCTTTTCCAACTTATCCGCCGTCCTCCCCAAGTGTCTAACTATGAATAGTTCTCTCCCTTTTCCCCCGACTATTTCCTGAACATGTTCCGCCCTATCCGCATTTTTAAACACACGGTAATTCATGTGTGTGTGTGTGTCAACCCGATGCTGTTTCCAGCCGTCCTGTGATGTCAGGCCTTGAATCAGCAAAGCCTGGGGTCACTCCTCCTCCTCCTCCTCCTCCTCCTCCCGCTTCTCTCCTCCTCCCCAGATCCCCTCGTGCTTCCGACCTGCGCATCTGTACTTTAACACAGACACACACCACACGTTTCATGGCCCCACAAAGCTGCACTGCTGGTGTGGGAGCAAGAAAAACGGATACCGCTACTCCCCGGACATATCCCGGGGTGAGATATGACCATAACTCCGAGGATAATCCAGCCGCGGTGACGAGGACTCTCCAGGACAAGCAACGGAATTGGAATATGTTCTTCATCTGATGGTGGTGGTGGTGTCTCGCTTCTTTCCTCCAAGCAAAAGGGTTGGGAGGCAACGTCTGGGAGATCTGCGCCAGAACAGTGCAAAGCGAGGGTCCGATTAAGGAGACATTAAGCTAGAGCTTGCCACACAAAACCCAATATCGAGCCGCATTTGCTGAGATTAAGCCTGGCTGAGCGGGCTTAAACCCGATCGAGCGGACTCAGCCAGATATTTAACCGGCTTTCGACCAGGGGCATGCAAGCGCCGCGTCTGAATGTTTAACCACCCAAGAGTTGCGCCCTAACACAGGGTGAGCCTCACCATCCCCGCGGCTGTGACTGCCCTGAGCATCAGCAGCCCCGCGGGGCACCCGGACCGCGGCTTGGCCTGGGCCAGCACGGGCACGGGCAGCTCGAAGCCGGCGCCAGACCTGCGCAGACGCCATCTGCACACCACCACCAGACCTGGCCAGGGCCAACCTGGGCCGGGGTCAGGAGGCAGCTTATGGGAGGCCTTCGCAAGAACGAATGGGGATGATGGAGCAGAGTAAATAGGGGCCATGAAGCCGGATAAGGCCAGATTAAGCCAGGGACTAAGCTGGATTAGATGAGCTGGACTACCCATCGGTGGGAAGAAGTAGGTAGAAACATGAAATAGGAAGGCGTTGAAAACAGATTGGGTGTGCGCCCGCCCCCCGAAGAGGACGGAAAAGGTGATGCCACTCGACCCTTGAAGTAGGAAGGCGCTCAAAGTGGATTGAAATCTGGGGCTCCCAAACTACCCATCGGACTCCAAGACTACCTACTTTCAACGACCGACGGGCAGGCTGGATTGCGACCGCGGATCTACCAGCGCGCTGATGCTGACAGCGGAGCCCGCCCAGGGAGCTGCATCCTGGCCCTGCCGTGGTGTGTGCACGCCCTCGAGGCCAAGGCCGGGGGGGCCACGGCACACCGCCCCCAGGAGGAGGACGAGGAAGAGGAGGCGGAGGGGGAGGGGGAGGAGGAGGGGGAGGGGGGGGAGAAGGAGGAGGAGGAGGAGGAGGAGGAGGAGAGGAGGAGGAGGGAGGAGGAGGAGGAGGGAGATGGGAGAAGGAGGAGGAGGAGGACGGGGAGAGAAGGATGAGGAGGATGAAGAGAAGGAGGAGGAGGAGGAGGAGGACGAGGAGGAGGGGAGGGAGCAGGAGGAGGAGGAGGAGGAGGAGGAGAGGAGGAGGAGGAGGAGGGGAAGGGGGGAGGAGGGGAGGAGGAGGAGAAGGAGGAGGAGGAGGAGGAGGAGGAGGAGGAGGAGGAGGAGGAGCCCTAGGATGGCCACGGCCAGGCACGGCCCGTGGTGGGCACGTATAGATATACACACAGACGCCCTCCACGGCAGACCCTGCCCAGTCCATGCACAGGGCCTCGTCCGCGTGCACGAAGAAGTCCGCGGGCGGCAGCGGCGCGAGCTCGCGCAGGACGTGCAGAACCTTGTTCACCGTCTGCAGCAGCGTGCCGAAGGCGGACTCGGTGAAGTCGCAGTGCTCTATCGCGCCGCTCGCGTGGAGCCGGAATCGGCAGAAGAGCTTGGAGGCGGCTTGGGGTGTCTGAGCTGGACAAGCCCAGGGACAATCGGTTGAGAGGGGGGGATGATGGCAGACTCGTTCAACATCAGTCTCCAGACCCCTCCCGTGGTCGAACCTGACGAGCTCTTCGAGCCGCGCCCAGCCGTGGCGACAAAGGGACCCTCTTCTCCCCGCTTTCTGCTGGACGGAACCAAATGCTCGGCTACCTCGGCCCCCAAGCTGGCTCCAAAGAAGAGCGACCGGTTGTTCTCTCCCAGGGAGGCCTCGAGGGCATCCAGCGCGGCAGTGTGCAGGACTCCTCGGTCGCGCCACGGCCCGATGTTAGATGAAGAACAAACACAAATATGACCTTTCGGATGTGCGCGGGGACTTCTTGGATCGGCGCTGGACCCCCCTCCCTGGCGCGCTGAGCAAACCGTGGAGGGCGCCAGAAGCGCCGCCAGAAAGGCCCAACGCCGATGCAAGAAACCCGCATGGAACTCCGACAGCTGATACTTTCGCATTTGTTTCTTCTTCGAGATGTCCTGCTCGATCCCGCGCTCCATCCAGGCTGGGGCCATCTCCTCCCCCCGGATCAGCCGCTGCGCCCGCGCGAAGCAGCAGCGGGCGTACTGCTCCGTGAAGCCCAGGGGCTCGTCGGTGGCTCCGTCGCGCACCAGGAGCTCTGCCCGGTCGCTCCAGCACAGCGGGTTGTGCTGCAGGCCGCAGCAAAACCCCTCCAGAGCGTCGAGGCTCGTCAAAGCTGCCTGTGAGAGGCAGAAAAAGGACACCGGCACCGCAACCCGTCCCTCGTCACCACCCACAGCTGGACCTGCCTCGAAACCCTGCTCCGAACGCACCCCGGCAGAGCGCGGGGAGTGGCGACATCGGCATCTTGCTCTGTCCCCAGCCTGGGCCCCCGGGATGCCCGAGGCCCTCAAGAGGGCCTCGGGGCCGGCCCAGCACTCCGCGCTGGTCCACGCCGGGCCCTCCGCTGCGGGGTCCTGCGCGGGGGGGTCCAGGAGTCCGCAGCAGCGCCCGAACGTGAAGTCCCCGAGCCAGCACTCGGTGTTGCCCTGGGGCCCGTGGGCGGCGGTGTCGCAGCACAAGTCGAACGTGTACGCGCCGTCGAAGCAGCCAGGGTTGCCCGGCATGGGCGCGGAAGGAGGGCAAGATCAGACAGCATCGAGCCAGGAGATCGTAGCGAGTGGGGCCGCGCCTGGGCTGCACGCAGCGTGAGAGCACCTGTCCCTTGTCCTCATCTTGGCTGCAGCCGACCAGCTCGACACACCGCTCACGCGTTTCGTGGCCCCACAGGGAGCTCCCCCGGAAGCCCCACTGGCGACTTTCGCATGTGGACGTTACGCCCGTTTCCGCACGCCTCTCACGCGCTTCGTGGCCCCATTGGGAGCTCCACTTAGGGGCCCAACGGCGACGTTCGCATGTGAGCGTTAGGTCGGTTCGGCACACCCCTCACACGTTTCGTGGCCCCATAGGGAGCTCCTCCTAAGGCCCCAATGGCGACGTTCGCATGGGGCCGTCACTCCCGTTTCGGCACGCCCCTCATACGTGTCGTGGCCTCTCTCGGCACACCCATCACGCGCTTCGTTGCCCCATCGGGAACTCCACATGAGGCCCCAGCGGTCACGTTCGCAGGTGGGCGTCACGTCCGCTTCGGCACACCCCTTGCGCGCTTCGTGGTCCCAGAGGGAGCCTTCAGTGGCACAACTCGCACGCCGCTCCCCCCATCGCAGCACGCCCCTCTGGCGTTTGGCGCCCCCCATGGGGAGCTCCGGTTACCTCCTCAATGGCACGGTCCGCATGCGTCCCCCATCCCCCTCCTATTTGGGCATGCCCCTCGCGCGCTTCGTGGCCTCATGAAGGACTAGACACCGACGACATTACTGCCAGCTGCGGCATTCACAACTGCATGCGCTTGGGTCCTTCGCCAAATTATCTGTTCTCAATACGCTCCCCCGGAAGTCCCGACCCTTTCCCCGAGGCCAATTTTGCATCACGCGAAATTCTTAGTTACGGCCCCAGGGCCCCGCTGGGGCCCTCCGGATGCCAACCACGGGTCCCCAGACCTCTCCTGGGATTCGTTCTGACCAGGATTTCGGGGCGAATCCACGAGGGCCTCCGAGGAGGCCCACCAAAAAGGGAAAACGAGGCAAGGGTAGCGGTAGGGTTACCTTGTCCACCTCAAGAAGAATACAAAAAGGCACAACCAGTGACTTTTGGCGCTCCCCGCAGATTTCTTGGCTCTGCGCTGGATCCCCGCCCTGGCACGCGTAGTGCGCCTCGGGCGGCGCCGCCGGAGGCGCCGACGGGGTTCCCAGGCGCGGATCCAAGAAACCCGCGCGGAGCGGCAACAGTTTATGTTCATGGCCTGTTTCCTCCTTCCAAGGAGGGCCTCCGAGGAGGCCCCCAAAAAGGGGAAAGCGGGGCAAGGATAACGGTAGGGGCACCTTTTCCTCCTCTGAGTATTGGTACTTCGAGTTTCTCAATAAGCGTCGGGGGGCCGTCACCCCCGCCGACAGCCCCACATCGACCCCCCTCGCGGGCAGCCACTGCGCGCCGAAGGCGCTGCGACCCCCGTCGCGGCGTGACGACGAGGCGAGATTGACACCGTCGGAGGGGGTACCCCCCCACACGCTTATTAAGAAACCCAAAGTTCCTTTTCTCGGCGGTGGACAATACTACCTTCAATCAACCTCCCCTTAGTGAAAGCGGCCTGGGACCGAAACCGACGGACCTGGACCCGCAACAACGACGGCCGCGACTCCCTCTCGCGAACCGAAAACGGCCAATTCGCTAATCGACGTGTCAGGGTAGGAGGTCGATCAACCGACTTCATACTAAGAAACCCAATGTATCCCTCCTCTGAGCATTGGGTTTCCTCCCCCCTCCGAGCTGTGTTCCCTCCGCGGGGGTCTCGTCGTGGCGGCGCCCTGCCGAGGGGGGCGCACCCAGGCGCTCCCGGCACGCTCCCGGCACGCTCCCAGGCGCTCCCAGGCGCTCCCAGGCGCTCCCAGGCGCTCCCAGGCGCTCTCAAGCGCTCCAGGCACATCACCGCACGGGCCGTTACCGATCGGTTTGGGGACCCTGGAGGCCGGTCGCCCGGGACATCCTCGGATAACCCGGATTCCGAAACCGTCCGGCCACGCCGAATCCCCACCGACAAACCACACGGTGCGGTCACCGCACCGTTTGGGGCCCGGCCCCCATCCGCTTCAGATCGGCTCCAAGGCCCCGCACGGGTGCCCATCCTGACCCGTTTTCCGAGACGGGCCTGGCCCTCGAGCGCGTGTCTTCATGTTCGGCGACAGTGGGCATTCGATGGGGGGAGGGCAGGGTGGGGGGGGAGGATGATGTAACGCCTCCCCCCCGCCGTGCGCACGGCGGCGGTGCCCGGAGAGCACTGGGGGGGAGGGGCGTTACTTGAGCAGGGGCCGACCGTCCCGACATTCCTATAGTCCTACCACGAAACGTTCGTGGAGCCGAAAAATGTTCGAATCACAAAAACACTGTTCTTAGAACATTAACCCGATGCGTTAAAGCAACACAGTCCCAGCCGGAAATATTCTAATAACATTTCGTACAGACCACAAATGGCTCTCAGAACATTCTTTGGTAGGCCTATAGGCGAGACAGGACGCTTCGCCACTGCTTGAATATGTTATAGAGGGGAGGGAAGGGGGGGCCGGGGGCTGTAATGCCCACTGTGCCCCAAGCAACAGAGAGACACGCTGCTCGCGACGAGGAGCCTCCAGGAAGCCTGTAGCAAGGATGGCAGGGAGGGCCGCGCAGAGAGGGCCGCCGCCGTCCTCGGGAAGCTGCGGCGGACACGCCGGCGAGTGGTGTTATCTCTGGAGCAGGAGGAACAGGAGCAGGAGGAGCAGGAGGAGGAGCAGGAGGAGGAGGAGGAGCAGGAGGAGCAGGAGGAGGAGGAGGAGGAGGAGGAGGAGGAGGAGGAGGAGGGGGAGGAGCAGAAGATGCAGGAGGAGGAGGAGGTGGAGGAGGAGGGGGAGGAGGAGCAGGAGGGGAGGAGGTGGAGGAGAAGAAGGATGAGCAGGAGCAGGAGAGGAGGAGGAGGAGGAGGAGGAGGTGGAGGAGGAGGGGGAGGAGGAGGAGTGGAGGAGGAGGAGGAGGAGGAGGAGGAGGAGGAGGAGCAGGAGGAGCAGGAGGAGGGGGAGGAGGGGGAGGAGGGGGGAGGACAAGCTAGGTGCGCTCGCGTCATATCTGACGTCCTACCCCTCCCTCCCATCCCTTACCATGGCGCTGATATTCTCTATCCGCGGACGCGTGTCGTAGCGGACCTGTGGCTCCGCGCGCGCGTGCGTAGTGGGTGGTGGTGCGCGTGCGTGCGTGCGTGTGTGCGTGGTGGTGGTGGGTGGTGGTGGTGGTGGTGGTGGTGGTGGTGGTGGTGGTGGTGGTGGTGGTGGTGGTGGTGGTGGTGGTGGTGGTGGTGGTGGTGGTGGTGGTGGTGCGGTGCGGCGCGGTGGTGGCGGGCGGATGGGCGCGCGAGAAAGAGGCCCGCGCTGGGGCGAGAACGCCATCCTGAACGACGGAGGCCAAACACCGATCCGAAAATGAGGCCCACGCTGCAGCGGGAGCACGATTCGGAACGATTCGGGAGCAGAAATGAGGCCAGCGCCTCAGCGAGAGCAGCATTTTGAAAAAAAACGCAAGCGAAAACCCGTGTCCCGGGAATCCTGTGTGTAAAAAAGCAGTACGCGGGGGGGGGGGGGGTCGGATATCTTCGGGACGCCATCAGGGGAAGTGGAAGAGTATTTTCATATTGTGTAATTGTGGAGGAGGAGGTGGAGGAGGAGGTGGAGGTGGAGGAGGGGAGGGGGGCCAGCGGGAGGCGCATGAGGGGGAAGGGCGGCGCCTCGATGGTCCTGGCGCCGCCCGCGCTGTCCTTCGCCTTCAGCGCCTGGCCGTTCAGCTCCTCGCCCGCTGCAGGCGCTGCATAGTTTGGGACGCACAGAGACATACTAATACTATATGTCCGCCTTGGAGGCGCGCGTCCGACCCGAACATATAGTATACCCATCTTGTAGTATATCGTTTCCCGAGCGGTGTGGCCAGGAAGCGCCCGCCACGACGCATATACTATAAGATTTCTCGGTGCGCGCGTCGCCCCTGGGGGGGCGACGCACATGTAGTATAAGTATGTTTGGGTGTTGCCGAAGGCCTGGAAATGGACACGAACACTAACAGAGGAGGTTGCCTCCACGAGGGGGAAGATGCTCCTAGAGTTCGGTGTTGGTGGGAACAGTTCGACCACCTTGGAAGCCAGACTAGTACCACCACCACCGAGATCGGCATCGTCTTTCCTCGGTGGAGGCACACCGCCGATGTTGGTGTTGGTGTGAACCTCTAGGCCTGGGATAATGGGGGGGGCAGTGAGTGGGGGGGGCAAAGGAGGTAGACGAAGAAACGACGCCTTGAACACAAACTTTTGGGGCGTTCCGCGCGGATCTCCTGGATCTGCGCTGGACCCCCTCCCTGGCGCGCGGAGCGCGCCAATGGCGGCGCCAGAGGCGCTGCTGCGGGGGGCCCAGCGCGGATCCGAGAAGTCCGCGCGGAGCGCCAAAGTTTATGTTTATGGGATATTTCCTCTTCGAGGATGGGCGCCTCGTGGGCGCCTCGTGCTGTCCGCGGCCTGCGCTACAGTGCTTGCACCACCACACGTGTCCACAATTGCTCACACCGCATGGCTTACACCAAACACACACACACATGGCTTGCACCGTAGAGCTCGCGCCGCACGATTGCGCCATGCATAGCTTGCGTCAGAGCGCTTGCACCGCACAGCTTGCACCACTCACGGCCATCACCACAGACGGCTTGCACCGCGTTGCTGGCAGCGCGCGCAGCGTTCACTATCTGGCATGCACCGCATAGATTGCCACCCCGTAGCTTGCACGCAGGGTGCAAGAACTGACGGCTTGGGCTCCAAACTGGCTAACAGTTGTATACATATATGTATATATACGCATCTTTATAATCCTATATAAGCCGAGCGTATGCGTAGAAAGGTGTGCGATTCCGGAAACCCTGCACCCAAAAATGCTGTCCTCTCTTGGGGGCGCATCGCGTACTTCCGCTTGCTTCCGCTAGCTTCCACGGGCCTTCCACCGAGGGAGAGATACAAACTGATTCGATCCTCAACGGCAAGACGCCTTCTTGAACGCCGCATATAAACATATGTGACCATATATATATATACATCCATATGTATAGATATATGCACATGCATACATGCATGCATATGTGCAATCGCACGGCATCTGAGAACAAACATATGCACACGTGCGGGCAAATCATATGCACATGATCATCCGACAGACTTCACCTGATGCTCCCCAGACGAGAACGTCCCTCCGGAACGGCGGCCAAAGACGTCGCCGCGGGCCTCCGGGGGGGGGGCTCCATCAGCGCAACGCACGCGTGGGAGTAGCTCTGCATCCACACCACCGCCTCGCCCGACGTCTTCGAGCCGGACTGCGAGCGCCGCTCGCAGGAAAGAAAGGCGGGGGGACAGGATGGACAGCGAATGAGCTGGTGCAGGTGGAGGGGCACGGTGGATGCTGGGACGGGCGGGTGACGGACAATCGGGGCAAGGGTCAGGGCAAAGGAGGGGAGAGGAAGCCGTTGGGCGCAGGAGAAGCACATAGCACGTGCCGCCGAGTCGCCCAGCATACTCCACATCCTCTTTCCGCATCCAGTCTCCTCTCATTCCTCCTACCTCGCCGTGGCTAAAATCAACTGGAAGGCCAGTTTGTGGACAAGCTTCCCTGGGCGATGCAGGGACACATCGGACAGTCGGGGAGACGCCACGCAACTGCACCGGCGCTCCCTTGAAACCTCTGGGGCTCATCGAATCTCCTCACCCATACACTTTTCCCCCTCTCCTGACGAAAAGGCAAGAAGAAGTAAGGAACGAGGGGCAGGAGGGGATAGAGGAGCAAGATCATGAGAGCATGAGAGGGAAAGACTAATGAGGAAAGAAGGGATACGTACCGAACGGGATACAGAGGAAACTAATCAGAATATGACTTAAAACATGGGGACCAGGGGGAACGATGGGGATGGAGAGGGAACGGGGTGGGGACGGATCACGGAGGATAAAGAAGAAATAGTAGAATAAGGACGAGGAGAGGCAAACATAGGTGCGCGACCCTAGCAAAAAGACACTCGCAATTACAAGCCTTGCACTTCGTCGAACTTCAAGCACAAATTAGAGCACCGAAGCAACAAGAACACATCAAACACAACAGACATGCATAATACAGCCATGTATACACACGGTAGTGGAGCCATCGCGCGCGCTTCGCACGCGCGCAATCTCTGCTTGCCATGGGGCCAAGCGTATGGCGCGTCAGAGGGGCTGTGTTCGTATGGTCGTACCCTTGGCTTGGAGACGCACGCCTTGGTGTCGGAGGTCGCCTGGAGGCTTTGCATTCGCGGCAATCATGGGACCATCGTGGGGCCCTCGTTCGGCGGTGGACAATACTCCCTTCAATAAACCTCCCCTCAGTGAACCTGGACCCGCAACAACGACGGCCGCGACGCCCTCTCGCGAACCGCAGACGGCCAATTCCTCAATCGACGTGTCAGGGTAGGAGGTCTGTCCACCCCCGCCTCCTGGAACTTCTGCACAGCCCTGGGAGCCTCCTGCGGGAGCTCGGGGGAGGCTCCAAGGGGGAGGCCTCCGCAGGGGAGGCGCCCCTGTGGGGGCCGTGGGGGCCGCAGGCACGCTGCGGCCCGGGGGGGTCCCCGGGGTCGGGCTTCGGAGGGTGGTGGCGCCGGGAGGCAAGAAGGGCTCAATCCAGCCTCGAATGCACTCCCACTGGGGCGGGATCCAGCTCGACCGGATCCAGCTCTCACGGAGTGCTACGAAGGCCCTCAGTCCAACTTCAAGGCAACTCTGGAAGGGCTCGATCCATCTGCAACTGGATCCCGCCATGGTCCGTTACATCTCTAATCGAATTATACTAGGTCTAGCTCGAAAAGAACCCTAAGAGGGACCGGTGCATCTTCAAAAGAATTCTCTAGGGCTGGATCCAGCACTGATGGAATCCTACGGGGATTCGATCCCTCTTTAATGAAACCCTACTGGGGTTGATCCAGCCCTACAAGAATCAATTAGGTTTCGTTCCAGCTCCAATGAGAGTCCTACTGGGGTTCGATCCAGCTCTGATAAAGCCTGCTGCTAAGGCTGGATCCAGCTCTAATGGAATCCGATCAGAGTGAGGCGTCATGCAGCTGTAATCGAATCCTACTGGGGTTGTTTTCAGCTCTGGTTGATCCAACACTACAGGAGCCCTACCGAGGCTCCATCCAGCCTCCGTAGAATCCTACTATGCATGACTCTAGCTCTGCGTGAATCCTACAAGGCTTCGGTTCAGAACGAATAGCATACAAATATGTTTGATTGACTCTAGCTCTAAGGAGTGAAACAGGCCCGACCCCAAATAAGGGAAAGCTTCATATTGCACGGGCGCAGTGCTTGGCATTGCTTGGCAACGCTCAGCATTTCTTGGCATTGCTTGGCGTTGTTTCGCATTGCTTGGCACTACTTGGCATTGCTTGGTACTGTTTTGCATTGCTTCGCACAGCTTTACATTGCTTGGCATTGCGAACGTTTTTTTTCTTTCGGCATTTCGAAATTTGGCGAAGGGAGGGGGGGGGAGGGGGGGGGGTCTGGCTCCCGACCTCTGCTGAATGCGACTGTTTGCAGCAGTGCGTCCTATGGGGGAGACTCCTCCTGCTTGAAACAGGCGCCCAAAAAACAAGATCTCACTCCATGGGGTGGGGCAAGGGGAGTGCGAAAGCCCGCGCCGATCGGCACGGTGGAGTTTCATGGGGGGGCCAAAACAATGAATGAGAAAACAATCACATTGCTTGGCATTGCTTGAAGTTTCTTCGCATTGCTTGGCATTGCTTCGCATTGCTTGGCATTGCGTGGCATTGCTGGACATTGCTTGGCATTGCTTGGGGAACCAAGGGGACCCGAGAAACCTGGGGACCCGAGAAACCCGAGGAACCTGGGGAACCCGCGAGAAGCCGAGGAACCCGAAGAACCCTCCGGGTAACCCGGGTAATCCAAGGAGTCCTGGGAACCCGAGGAACCCGGGGAACCTCCGAGGAACGGGCAACGTAAGAATCGGAGGCACCGAGGGCGAGGAACCGGGGGAACCCGAGAACCTCCGAGGAACGGGCAAATAGCCTCCCGAGGCACCAACCTTTAACCCAATAAGACCCCCTTGGCCAAACCTAATTTGGGAAAAACCCGACCACGGCTCGATACACCTTTGATCGGATCCTACCAGGACAGGACCCAGCTGCAATCGAATATTACAAGGTTTCGATCCATCCTGAATGCAGTCCTACTAGGGATGGATCAAACTCTAACAATACCCTACTGAGGTTCAATCAATCTATCATAGAATCCTACTTGGGATGGATCCAGCAATAATCGCATCACTCTAGGGCTCGATCGTCGCCGTCGTCGGCGTCGTCGTAGGCGTCCTCATCGTCGTCGTCGTCGTCGTCGTCTTCGTCGACTTCGCCGTCGGCGGCGTCGGCATCGTCGTCGTCGCGTTCTCGTTGTCGTCGGCGTCGGCGTCGTCGCCGTGGTCGTGGTACGTCGTACGTGGTTGTCGTCGTCGTTGTCTGCATCGTTAGCTACTGCCGGCGGCGGCAAGAAGGTCGTCGTCGTGGTTGTGGTCGTCGTCGTCGTCCGAGCAGTTTGCTGGCGGCGTCGTCATGTCGTCGTCGTCGTCGTCCGCGTCGTCGTCGGCGTCGTCGTCGTCCGCGTCGTCGTCGTCGTCATCATCGTTGTCGTCGTCGTCGTGGTCGTGGTCGTCGTCGTGGTCGTCGTCGTTGCCGCCGGGGAGGGGGAGGGGCCTGGGGGGCGTGTAGACCCCTCGAACAATTTTCCCAGGGCGGGGGGGTCCCCGGGTTTTTTCCGGACAATTGTCCTGGCTGGGATGGGGGGAGGGGGTTGAACCCCCCCCTGACGGCAGCGGCAGAACTGTCCTTTCAACGTGCAGTATGCGTTGTAGTAGAGGCTGCAATGAGAGGCAATGATGCGGGCTGCAGTAGAAACTGGATTGGGGGCTGCGGTGGACAACTCATTGAGAATTAGGTTTGGATACGTACGACTCTTTGCAGATGGACTTGTAGTAAGAGTCTGGGACAGAACATGACAGAAAGCTGCACGAATGGCTGCACTGTGAATTGAAAGATCAGCTGCAGGATCTGGTTTTTAACAGAACAGCTGCAGGATCTGTAGTAGGATGCGTTCCATCAGTTGTAGTAGGGCCTGCATCAACAGTTGCAGCGAAAGCTGTTCCCGTGGCTGTAGCAGGAACTGCTGTACGAGCTGCATGGAAAGATGTGGAGTTCTAGTCGGAGCTGTAGTGAGAGCTGTAGAAGGACAGGCTTTGAGGGGAATGTCCTCCTGGGTATAGAACAAATGTGGTACGGTCTTCTATAGGGGCTGCAGTACGGGGTAACACTAAGCGCTGTAGGGATAACAATGCTACGGCCTGCAGCAGGAGCTGCAACGGAAATTGTACTAACGGCTGCGACAATGAACTGCGCTAGAAATAACTACCATAGCACCCCGCAGCGGATAAGAGTGAGGGGGAGGTGGGGAAGTCGGCAGTTTGCGAGACTCTGGAGAAGCCCGCCGCAGGCGCCAGGGTGGGTCGCGGGGTGGGTCGCGGGGTGGGTCATGGGGTGGGTCGCGGGTGGGTCGCGGGGTTGGTCGCGGGGTGGTCGCGGGGTGGGTCGCGGGTGGGTCGCGCGGGTGGGTCGCGGGGGGGGTCGCGGGGTGGGTCGCGGGGTGGGTCGCGGGGTTGGTCGCGGGGTGGGTCGCGGGGTGGGTCGCGGGTGGGTCGCGGGTGGGACGACGACAACGACAACACCAACACCAACACCAACACCAACACCACCAACAACAACAACAACAACAACAACAACAGCAACAACAACACTAACAACAACGCAACAAACAATATCCTCACCACAGATCCCCACTTCAGCCACGCACCCAGGCACAATGAATGACCGCTCGACCCCCTCACCCTGATATAGACATATGCAGTAGGATGTTCAACATACTTTGCGCTAGGAACTGTAGCACGATTCTGGTACGGATAAGCTACAGGTTGTAGTATCAGCTGATGGGAGCGATTGGAGGACAGGACCCATAGAAGTCGTGCTAGTACCTGTAACTGATGGGAGCTGTCGACGGCGCTGCCGTAGGAACCGTAGCGGGAGCTGTTCTCCCGACTGCATCACAAACTGTACTGCGACATGATATGTGGAATAGCTGTAACAGAGAGTGTAGTAGTAACTGCATCCATATACGTGCGACATGATATGTAGTGAGAGCTGTGGGGAACTCACTACTGGCTGTTACATGGGCTATACTAAAAACTGCGTGGTGAACTGTACTGAGAGCTGTGCTACGGGTTGCAGGATCAAGCAAAAAAAACATAAGCATGAATTCTTGGCTCGGCGATTGGACCTCTGGCGCGCTCCGCGCGCCAGAGAGGGGGGCCCAGCGCCGATCCAACAAATCAGCGCGGAGCACTACATATCCATGTTTTGGCTTTTTGTTGTTCTTCGGATGTCCGCATTGTATGATGGGCCTGTTTGCTACCACCACCACCCTGAGCTGGAGGGGGGAAGGAGGTGGAGGACGAAGAGAAGGAGGACGAAGAGAAGGAGGAGGAGGAGAAGGAGAAGGAGGAGGAGGAGGAGGAGGACCCCTCGCCAGCTAACTTCTGGTGGTGGTGGTGAACATCGGCGGTGGATAAACCTCCCTTTAGTAGACCTCCCATTAGTGAAAACGGCTTGGGAGCGAAACCGACGGACCTGGACCTGCAAAAATGACGGCCGCGATGTCCTCTCGCGAACCGAAAACGGTCGATTCCTTAATCGACTTGTCAGGGTAGGAGGTCTGTCCACCCCCGGGAGGAACGAGACCATCATCTGAATGAAGAGAAGAGACGGCCTTCGCGAGCATCCTCACCTTGCCCTGGCCCTCCTCGCCAGGGCGGGGCCGGCCGGCCGCCGGGGCACGGCCCCGAGAGTGGAGCCGCGAGCCAACGGCCCAAAAACGCGCGGTCCTGGAGCCTGGGCTTAAGTCGGGCGTGTCCCCCTACAGGGGGATTGTGGGCGAAACAAAAAAAATACTTAAACAATGCCCTCCAAATGTTCAAACATAGTAGAAAAATCGTCACCAGACTACTGTTTAACTATTTTTAACACTCCCCCTTTAAAGGGACACGCCCGACGTAAGCCTGGGCCCGTTCGCCGACAGCAGGATGGCAGAGGATGACAACCACTAGTAAACATTGACTCTCACACTCCGCGCGGACTTCTTGGATCGGCGCCAGAGGCGCCGCCGCGGCGCACGGAGCGCGCCCGGGGGCGGCGCCGGAGGCGCCGCCAGGGGTCCAATCGCCGATCTAAGAATTCCGCGCGGGCCTCCGAACATTTCTGAACATGCAAGTGGTTCTCCTTCGAGATGAACCAGTATCGAACCGAGAAATCGGATCGGATTGGAATGTGGGTCAGATCGGGCTGCATCGGCTCGGCGTCGAACACGAATCAGATCGTGTGCGCCAGGATAGAGAACGGCATCAATGCACATATCGCAAGCGTCTGGCCGCATCGGATCGCTGGAACATAGAAATCAAACCGGATCGAGACGGCCGAAAGCGACATCGAATGTCTGATCGATCGGATCGAAATGGCCCCTCTGGAGGACACTCACAGGGAGGGGATCCCCAGGCACAAGGAGCGCAAGGGGTCTGGTGGCCGCGCCCCCTGAGGAGTGTGCAGTCGGCGTGGCGTATCGGCGTTGGGGGCATGGCTTGCAGAGGGGAGCCACTGTAGAGGCCGCCTGAATGGGGTCCGAGTAGATGGGGTCGAAGGACCGCGCCGCATCGCCAATGCATTGCCGATGTGTCGGCGATGCATCGGCGATGCATCGGTGACGTCGGCGACGCATCGGTAACGTGGGCGTGGGGAAACACGGGCCCCACATCGAGCCGCATCGTCAGTGCATCGGCGATGCGGCGCGATCCTCCGACCTCATCTACTCGGACCCCGTCTAGGAGGCCTAGACTCTGGTGGCCCTGGCTGCACCCGGATGCACGAGAGGGGCGCCAGGCCAACAACTCCTGTCCAGAAATGTCATGCGGAGTTTGTTTGTGTTTGTGTTTGCTTTTTTCTGCCCTTGGCGGCCGTCGACAGGCCCTGGTGCCGCCAATTAAAACGACTCAGGGTGCCAAGCCTGCCCTGGGGACCCCGGGGACCTAGCACTGAAGAACACAAGACATCGGTTTTCCGGGCCCTCCCCTTGCCATCGCTCGGACGTCCAATTCCCGTGCATTGCTTAGCTTCGTGCGGTGACATTTTTCCGAAATGATCCGCGATGCTCCTCGATGGTCATCGCCGAGAAAAAAGAAAAACTCACACGTTCGAGCGATGCCAAATCGTCCTAGCCCCGTCTGGGTAGGGCCAGCGGTGGGGTCCGAGAAACACCGCCGTGGCCGGCCCCTGGAGGAGGGCAGCTTCGGCCTCGAGGCGGGCTCGCTGCCCCAACCCCACATGTCAAGTGGCCCAAGGGACACAACAAGAAATAGACACAACTCATCCCAGAATCCATATCTTATGGGTGTTCGTCTTACACCCCCCCATTTCCCCTAGTTTCCCATTCTGCTCTCCTGGGGATCGCCGCACGCTGTGCGCAGCCTTCATTGCACTCCTCGTCCCCCCTCCCTCCTCCACGTCCTCCTCCTCCTCCTCGTCCGCCGGATTGAAAACATCTTCCCGGCATTGTCCGCGGACGTTTCCCGGCATTGTCCAGGGTCTTTCCCGCGGCAGTGGTGGTCATGCATTTTCACGCGGGCCGCGCGAGTTTGTAAAGCATGTTGCATGGTTTTGCGCGGCGCTGGGCCTCCGCAGATGTGCAGGTCTCGCCCTCCGGCGGCGCGCTTGCATGTTGCCTCGACGGGTTGGGAGAAGCGACGTCAGCAAATGCCAAATCCCAGCCTTTGCGTCCGTGTGCTTTCTGTTCCTCGGCGGTGGACAAACCTCCCTTTAGTAGACCACTCTTTAGTGAAAACGGCCTGGGACCGAAACCGACGGGCCTGGACCCGCAGAAATGACGCCCGCGGCGCCCTCCCGCGCACCGAAAGCAGCCAATTCGCCAATCGACGCGTCAGGGCAGGAAGTCTGTCCGACCCCGAAAAATCCTCTCGTGCGCACCGCTCCGAAGCCTCCCTGCGCGCGCCCTCGCCTGCCCGGGCGGCCCGCCAGCGCTCGAGCGCCCCTGCCGCCCGCCCCGGCGGGGCAGAGCAGTCCGAGGAGCTCGGGCCACAGGGCCGCGCCGCCGAAGGGGATGCGTCGGCGGCCGGAGATCGAGGCGGCACCGCCGCCGCGTCGGCGCTGCGGCGCGAGGTGGGGCCAGAGGGCGGCGCCGCACCGGCGACGCACGGGCGGCGGGAGGTCGGGGCCTCCGTCGGGCGGCGTCGCCGGTGCATCGGCGGTGCGGCGCGACCCTCCGACACCCTCTATGACATGGCCCATGGACACACACATGTATGTATGTATGTATGTATGTATGTATGTATGTATGTATGTATGCATGCATGTATGTATGTATGTATGTATGTATGTATGTATGTATATTTATATATATACACCTGTAAATCGACACAAATCCCGGTTTGCCTGGTAGGTATGTTGAGTAAAATTCAAAATGGTCTAAAACATGCTCTTCCGCCAATGTGCCCATGCCTTCCCGGGCATCGACGACTCTTCGTCCGTGGTCTGCCCCTCGCGAGCCTGCCCGGACCCCCCAAGCTGGGCGGCCCGGGCGCGGCACGTGCCCGCGGAGCGCCGCGAGCACCCACGCTGCGGACAGGCATCGCCGCGAGCGTGCCCCGCGGTCGAGGTCACGGCCCGCGTGCTGCCAGAACAGGCAGACAGAAGATCCATCCCCCCAATTAAGAGTCACCCCGACGCGCGAAGCCGTGCGGGGAACGCACCCACAGGAGGAATCAGACAGGGCAGGGCTGCTCAGGAAACGCCGATTGTCGAGTCTGGGTCTTTTCCAGTTGTTTTGTGCTTCTTTGGGGGGCGACATATGCGTAAAGCAACTGGAATTCAAAGAGAAAGAAAGAGAGAGAGAGAGAGAAAGCGAGAGAGAGAGAGAGAGAAAAACGAAAGAGCGAGAGAGAGAGAGAGAGACAGAGAAAGAAAAAACAAGAGAGATATGCAAAAGGGCCCGCCCGCCTAACGCCCTGCACGTCCCGAGGACGCGAAGCACGGACCGACGGCGCAGACCATAGCCCTGTCGGCACGGCTGAAGCTCGTCCTCCCTTGACTTAGGGAGCGCACGTGAAGGAACAACGGGGCTTTTCTGGCAGTGCACGGCGTGCCTCGGCCGCTTCGTAGCAGGTTCCACGACACGGAGCCACGGAGTGGCCCGAGAGCACGAGCCTCCGCAGTTCAGCATCTTGGCGAGACTCTCGTATGCGACCCCACTGCGTACGGGCGGGATGGCCGATGCGCTCCTCCACAAGACAAATCCACCTGCCCTATACGCACGTCGGGGGCAACGGCAGGGGGTCTGGACTCAGGGAAGGGATGCCTCGACCCCGACTCGCCCGTGGATCGCCGATAAGGGGCCTGATAGCGCGCCCCGCCGGGGAACGCGCGGTCTCGCCATCGGGAGCAGACCCACCGGTCGGAAGAAGTAGGTAGAAACATAAAGCAGAAGGCGCTGGACGTAGACTGGGTGCCCGCCCGCCCCTTGCAGCGGACGGGCGAGGGGAAGCCACACGGTGATTGAGGTAGGAAGGCGCTTAAAGTCGATTGGAATCTGGGAATCCCAAAACACCTACTTTCAACGCTCGATGGTCATCGCCGATCTATCGGCGATGCATCGCCGATTCAAGCCCGACGCCCCCCCCCCCACACCCCTGAGCCGGTCCCGCCCTCACGTCGCCCCTCAATAGTCAGTGTTTCGGCGTCCCTGTCAGGGTTAAGTCGGGCATGTCGCTCGGCATGAGGAGAACTGAAGAAAAGTAAAAACATTGTTTGGTGACGCTCTGTCGTGCTCTGTTGACGACCCTGGACTTACGTACGGTTCGACAGTCTTCCATCTTTCTTCCCAGATCTGCCTCCAGGAGGACATGCCCGACCCACTGGTACAGACAGAAGATCCACCCCCCCATCCCCGTCTTCCTCCTCCTCCTCCTCCTCCTCGTCCTCGTCCTGGTCCTCGTCCTGCTCCTTCTCCTCCTCCTCCTCCTCCACTTCCTCCTCCTCCTTTTCCTCCTCCTGCTCCTCCTCATCTTCCTCCTCCTCCCCCTCCTCCTCCTCCTCCGCCTGAATCCTCCTACAAGACCCAACAAGGTGTCCTGAAACTCCATGAGCACCGAGCACCTACAACAAAATTATATAGAATCCGAATGGGGCCCCCTAGCAATGGGGAAAGTCGCCAGAGGAAAAGAGGGCCCAAACCTGGCCGACGAGCCAGGCACGGCACCACGGAGGAACTTCGACCTCTCGGGTGACCGCCTCGGATTCGTGCAGGGCTGCAGTAGCTTGTCGGCCTTCAACGACGCCGTGCCCCCGCACAGCACACAAAAACTGATCGGCGCGTCGGACTCGACCATCCTCGCCCAATGCAACTTATGCCCAGCACCGCCAACCCCACGCAGGGGAGCGCAGAGGGTGTGGTTCGGGGATTGGCAGGAGGTCCGGGTCCGACTCGAGACGCTCCGCAAACACCTGAGACACCTCGAGACCTCCCCATGACAGCCAGGGAGGTTGGCAGAGGCAGGTGGCTTGACCTCTTTGGGCCTAGCGGGTCTCGAGACACACCCGAACAGGCCATCGAAGGTGGGCCAAGCTTTCAGGATGTGAAGGGCCCCCTGCAACAAGACTCTGGTGCTCAGCTTCGCCCTGAGAAATGGCAAACAACTCGTCTGGCGAAATGTTGTGCAGCATGGCTCTTCTCTCGGCAAACTCATCGGCCATCGTGGGGCCAGCAATATTCAGATAGTCCTCCTGGTCAGCTGCGCAACGGAATTCCCTGTGGAGCTTGATCTTAGACAAAATCGGCCACGGCCCTTCACAAATACTATGGCACATTTCTTTCCGGGAAATCTGAACCGAGTCCTCCCCGACAGAACATTCGCGAGGCTCTTCATCCCCGCGAACAGTCCGCTGTAATCAACGCGAATGGGCTCAAGAACGCTGTCGGGGTCACGGTTTCCCTACGTAAAATGGCAACAACCAGGCCACCATGTTCCGCGTCGCTGCTGGACTGCTGGCGACTCGCGGGCAACGGACCATATATGCCACGCAGCGCCGTTCCCGCGTCAGTCATGGAAGCAATTCCAAACCCAGCCCTGGCGACCTCGGGTCTCTCACCCTGGAAAACACGAACCGTCAGAGAAGAACTTGTCCGAGGTGGTAAACTGGAAGGGCTCGCCGCCCTCTCCATTGGGTCCAACGAGCTGGAGCGCCTGCTCGTCGGCTGGGCTGGTCACATCAGGCATCGTTGGCCATAAACGAGTTCTCGCCTGCTCTGCGCCCCGCCTCGGGGCAAGCGCACTCCCGGGCCCTGCGCCAGGAGGTGTCATACGCGGCTTAGCAGAGGGGGGCAGACTCTAGGCACATATCCCCAGTTGTGCATCGCTTCTGCAGTTGGAAGTGCGCCTGGAAGAAATTGCCCATGCAAGTGGGCCTCGTCTCCGCCCTTGATTTTGGCCGTCCAAGCAACTACGTCAAGCCAGAAGCCTTGGGCAGCACTGGGAGGAGGGGCCCCGAATCCTCGCGAGGCTTGCAAGAGATCCCCGCCTAAAACCTCCCCACGGAGGTCCTGCACGAACATATCTACTACAGCCCGTGGCGGGCACTCAATCAGGACATACCTTTGGCCTCTCATGCTCTTGAACACAACTGGGCTCTTCCAAGACGCACCGGCCTCTTGCGGCCATAGGAGCATGGAAGAGATAGGCTCTCGGGCCCTCCTGAGCCAAGACTTCCCCTCGGTCTCACGCAGCCTGCCCAAGACAGCACTACAAGCCTTGCTGAGGGCCCCCGCGGACGGAAAGCCGCGAGACGCCTCAGAAGTGCGCCACCATTCCCACGCATACCTCTTGAGGGCCCCTCCCCCCAGCCAAAACTCTGGGACCATCTCTAGGATGTAGCGCCCGCATCATATCCAAATTGTATCCTCGTTTACTGATGCCTACAGCACGCGCCGCTGATCGACGCATGGTCAGTAGCTCCCTCGGGGCGATGCCCTGCTTCTCCATGCCAAACGAGATGGTGGGCAGGATCCCTGTCTTGAACAACCTCGCCTTTTTCACCCTGGGAAATTTTATGCCCTGCAGCTCGGCGATCGTGAACCTGAACTTCCGCAAGCGTTCTAACAGCCCTGGCCCCGCGGTGACCCTGGTGCTTCCCAGCCGAGACAGCGACCCCCAGGTTTGGAGCAGCCTTTTTCACCTCTTCCCCCAAGGGGCCCCAAACATACCGATTGTAGCGCCATGGTAGTACTCAATGCCGCAACCATTTTCTTCTCGGCAAGAGGGGCAAAAAGGTTTTGCGTCGTAACAGTTGCCAAACCTCGCGCAATATCCCCCAACTGCTCGACCGCCTGGTGCACATTGGCACCCCGTGAGTGCATCGACAGGACATCATCATGCAATCCTTGGGTCGTGTTGGGCGCGCTCCTGTGATTCACAATAGTGGGGACTAAAAATGATTTAGGTCCACGCGCGGCTGAAGTGTTGCCCGCCCCTCGCTTCGGCCACAAAAGGGCCCCGAAGGCCCCGTCGAGCAGCAAGACCCTGGGCCACCGATAAGTCGACAAAGTGTAAGCTGAAACATGATGTGGAAAGTTTGACAGCATACTCTGATCCAGCTACCATTGACGCCAGGTCTGCTCGTAGAACTGCAAAATATCCCACGACACAGTGCAGTAATGCATGTCACGACAGGTCGTCTGCTCTGCTGCGACACTCTGATGCCAGACCATATCAGACGCACCCCTTCCCTTTTCCCATCGAAACCTCTGGGCCTAGTCCGACAACTTCCTCCCGCTGGCGACATGGATCACGATGCACCTTCCCACGCAAACGAGCCAACCCGCAATAGTGTCCGATGGGTATCCTCCCTTGTCGGGCCCCCGCACTAGAAAGCAATAAGCCGCTGCATCTGACAAGGCACCTCTCCAATCGCATCGACTAGATGGAGGGGGTCCGCTGGCACCCCGAGACTCGAATCACTGAGGAGAAAATTGAAGTGACGCGGATGGAATCCGTCTGGCTTGCATGTGAATGTTTCAAACGAGTGCTGATGTGACGTAACTGCTCAATTTCACTGGGCCTGGGTATAGGATTGGCCATGGCGGGCAAGCAGATGGCATCTCCTACCACAGGCTCCTCACGCGCATCCAAAGCCGTCTTCCACAACCCCCTCTTATGTTCCAAACGGCAACGAAGAGAGCTGGTGAGCGACTCGCCACTGGTAGCAAACTCCTCCTGCGCAGGTTCTCCTGTTCTGAGGTAACAGTCACCTGCTTCATGCTGGAACCCGCTGGTTCTGAACACCACTGGGCCCACGCGGCCCTAGCCCTAGACCAATCATCAAGGAAGCCAAACTTGGTCCAGGAGCCCGAGAACTCAATACAAACGTCCAAGAACTCCTGAGCTTCATCCCCCGTGGTCCTTCGGAGGGTCCTGGAAATCGAAGCACATAGCGGATGCCAGGAAGCCCCTCCTTCACGCCAGTGTCGACGGAAAGGTCCTCCTGCCTTCGGGAGCCTCTCCCACTGGCCCACGACCCTCAAGTAGTACTTACCCAGATCCCTTTTGACGCGCAGCGCGTTGAGCTCCTTGAGTCTGTTGAGCACAGAACAGAGGCCTCCCAGGATATGCATTTTGGAGATGTTTCGTGGCCAGCAACTTGGACAAGGCAACCTCTTGGAACTCCATAGGGGGCCCCACCAGCAAGTCCCGAGACTCCCAGACATTGACCAGCTCCTGGTACCTCCTACCAAGCTCTTGGGGCCCATTTCTCGTAGATCTCATTGAGAATTGTTATGCCTTCCACCTTGAGACTCCCCGAGGCCATATAAGCTTGCCCCATCGTGGTCACTACACTTCTGGAGGAACTCGCCCAGGGGTCTCTCGGGATCTCTGTAGTCTAGTGGGGCTTCCCTGGGGCCGATCGCTGGCTAATGCCGAACATGCTGGTAGGGCTTGGGTACCCTCACCTTGATGTCTGCGATCATGCTTTTCACCTGCAACGATACTGGCCTGTGCGGGCTGAATGGGGGGTCCAGCTCGACCTCGAGTTGTCCCGAGGCGTAGTCCAGCACCCAACTGTTCATGAAAAAAACGATGACCGTTGAGCACGTGCCCACGTATGTCGGCACATCTGTGGCTCTGATCAACCATCCAAGTTGCTTAGGAACATGAGGATGAGCAATGGAGGGCTTGCTGTTGAAGCCCCCTCCGACGATGAACGGCACAGTGTGCTGGAAGCAGTCCTTCCAGATAGCCTCCAGCACCTTCTTGTTGCCTCGTCCCATGCCCTCGGAGTCTCTGAGGTACGGCGAGTAGCATGCAATGGTCCCGATCCTGGCACTTCGAAAAAAACACCGCGACACTCGCTCTTTCTCTTCTTCCGCCTCCTCTTCCTCCTCCTCCTCCTCATCATCATCATCATCCTCCCTCCCCCTCCTCCCCCTCTCCTACTCCTCTCCCTCCTCGATGAGATCGGCCATGTTGTGCATCGCGAAGAAGACGAACACGTCCTCGGGGCGGCGCGGGGGCGGGGCGCGGCTGCCGCGCATGGGCGCGGCTGGCATGCGCCGCCTCCCCTGCAGCCCTCCTCCCCCCTTCGTCTTCCGGTCCTCTGCGGTTCCGCCTCCGCGGGGCCTGCTCCACCTCCTCCTCCTCCTCCTCCTCCTCCTCCTCCTCCTCCTCGTCAGCAGCAGCAGCAGCAGCGCAGCACCATCATCTACTCCTCCTCCTCCTCCTACAGCCACCTCGTATCAGAAGGACGCGCGACAAGGATGCAAGGGCCTTGGAAGGTCCTGCTCGACAATCTGCGAGCGAGGCGCGGCCCAAGGATGGGCCGAGGAGGCCAACCATGCAAAGGGCACCCCGGGGGCAATTGCCCATCCTTCCCATGCGGGTTGACTGTACTCCTCCTCGTGGGTGCCCGCCAGAAGCCTCTCCTACCGGGCCATCCTCGGCGGCCTCCCTCCTCGGCCTGCCTCCTTCTCCCTGTCCTCCGCCTCCTTGGCCCCCCCCCCTCCAAGAAAAAGCCCGTCCTCCTTCTCCTCCTCCTGCTCGTCCGTCTCGTTCGTGGTCGTGGTCGTCGGTCGTCGATCGTAGTCGGTGTATTCGTCGTCTTCGCCGGTGCCGTCGTCGCCGCCGTGCCTCGTCGTCAGCGTCTGCGCCGTCGTCATCGTCCTCCCCGTTGACGTCAGCGTCTCCGACATCGCCGCCGCGGTCGTCGTACGTCGCCGTCGCGGTCATGAGCATCAGCCCCCTTCCGCCCACGGCCGGCCTCCCTCGATTCCAAAACTTCCCAAGGAGCAACGCTCGTGCCTGCAGCCCGTGTGAAACGTCAGGGAAGCTAGGAAGCCCGTGCGAGCTCGCAAATCTTGGAACACAGCATCACCATAACTCTTGCTCCTCAGAACAACGACTCTCCCTACAGGTGGAGCCCGCAGCCCCCCTCTCTGCGCAGCAGGCGGCAGCCAGCATTGGCTGGAAGAGGGAGTGTGCAGCGTGGCGGCCCCCTCACGCTCGCATGGCCGGCGGCTGGACTTCGCCCCCTGGCGAGGCGCAGATCCAACCCTGATGCCGACACCGTCGGCCAGCCTGCGAGACTGGCGTGTGCGGCCGCTGTCACCCTGTGTCGCCTCCGCCTCCGCCTCCTCGATCGTCGCTCTTGTCGTCCGCCGCTGCCTCTTCCTCCTCCTCCTCCTCCTCCTCCTCCTCCTCTCCTCCTCCTCCTCTCCCTCCTCCTCCTCCTCCCCCCTTCCCCCTCCCCCTCCTCCTCCCCTCCTCTCCTCCGCCTCCTCTTCCTCCTCCTCCTCCTCCTCCTCCTCCTCGCCCTCCTCTCCTCCTCCTCTCCTCCGCCTCCTCCTCCTCCTCCTCCCCCTTCCTCCTCCTCCTCCTCCTCCTTCCCCTCCTCCTCTCCTCCTCCTCCTCCTCCTTATCCTCTCCTCCTCTCCTCCTCCTCTCCTTCCTCCTCTTCCTCCCGCCGCCGCCGCCTCCTCAGTCCTCCTCCTCCTCCTCCTCCTCCTCCTCCTCCTCCTCCCTGCGCCGCCGCCACCTCCTTCTTCCTGCGGAGGCTCCAGCACGGAAGGTCGCCGGCTCAAGCGTTCCTCCTCCTCCTCTCGCTCCTCTGCCTCTGGGTCCACCTCCGCCTCTGCCTCCGCCTCTGCCACCGCCTCTCCTGCGCCTCCACCCGTGGACCGCGCCGACACGAAGAAAACAGAGGAACAAGGGAGTCTCAAGCAGCTCAAAGATGCAAGGGGCCCTGGCCAGGCAGCATCCTTGCCCCCCCGCGCGACCAATCGCATCGAGAAGGGCACCCTGGGATGGCCATAACCGAAGGCTGCCAGGTACCCTTGCGAAACAACATCCTTTGCGCCAGTTTTGAAAATCCCCGAGCCCCATAATGGAAGGGCAAATGTCCACCTTTCCCCCCCGCCAGCCTGCGCCAGCTCGCTTACGGCGCACCATACGGCGGACTATCAATTGACAGGCTCACAGGCCGAACGGCGGAGCAAAACGTGACGAGGCCAGCCTTGCCACAAGCTGATCCCGTGCAGGCCTGGTCACTGTTCGGTCCGCCGCGAGAACCCTCGAAAGCAGCAGTGCGAAGTCATACTCTCGAGCGCACGTTTGTGCCATTGCTTGTGTGCTTACGGACACGCGGCTTCATTCACGCAGCGCCGTGAGAACTATCGGCCTCTCCCTCCCGGCCTCTCCCTCCTATAGAGGCCTCCGCAAGGGGATCCGAGTAGCCGCGGTCGGAAGATCGCGCCGCATCGCGTATGCATCGGCGATCCCTTGCACGGCGTTCGACTTGCTTCGCGAGCCCGCGTACCAAAAAGTATGTATCGGCGATGCGCAGCGATGTGGGGCCCGATGATCACCTCCAGTGCGGTCGCGGCCGCAAGAAACCCCTGCAGAAGCCCGACCCTGAAAACCCGCGCGCGAGGGGCACCGAAGGAGAAAAATCCGGAGCACCCCGAACGCAGCAGCTCCTTTGAACGGCGGCGGGAAGTCGCTGCGCAGCGCGCGGAGCCAAGTAACCCAGGATACAGTGGGGGCCCGACCTCAAGGAACCTTCCACAAGAAATCTAACCCTGAGACCCCAGGACGTCCATGGATATTTGGTGTGGGAACGACACGCTTTCCATAGCAAACCATCGAAAACCAAGAAACCCAGGGCACCCTGGAGGCGAGCAGGGCGTCTCTTGGCATGGGCCCCGACTGTACCCTTACGAAAAACACATGGTTTCTTGATGCGCGCACCCCACAATAGATCCTGGGGACCTCCTCGTCCTGCTGCGAGCCGCCGGGAGGGAGGCCGAGTGCCTCCAGGGGGCCCCCCCAAAGGTTCCACACTCACCCGCGAGCGCCCCCGGGGCTTAGAACCCAAAACATGGTCTAAGAGCAAAAGCAATTGTCTTGACCAACAGACCCGATGTTTGAATGCAAGACAGTTTCGACCAGAAATGTTCGAAAAACATCTCGTGCGAACCACACAGGTTCTTAGAACACTCTTTGGTGGCCCTATTAAAGGCAAGCCGAGACGCTTCGCCCCCCTGCTTGGCTGGAGCCCCCTCGCGGGGACCACTCGAACCAGACCTTCGAGACGCGCGGCCGGCCGCGGCGACGGACGCCGCCAGAAAGCAGCGCCCCAAAACACTGCCCGAGACGAAGGCGACGAAAACGACGGCTTCCCCGGGGGACGTAGGCAACCCGAGGAGGAGAAGGAGGAGAAGGAGGAGGAGGAGGAGGAGGAGGAGGGGGAGGAGGAGGAGGAGGAGGAGGAGGAGGAGGAGGAGGAGAAAGAAGGAGGATAATGAGGAGGAGGAGGAGGAGGAGGAGGAGGAGGAGGAGGAGGAGGAGAACGAGGAGGAGGAGGAGGAAGAGGAGGAGGAGGAGGAGGACGGGGGAGGGGGGGAGGAGAAAGAGGAGGAGGAGGAGGAGGAGGAGGAGGAGGAGGAGGAGGAGGAGGAGGAGGAAGGAGGGGAGGAGGATTAGGAGGAGGAAGAGGAGGAGGAGGATCAATTAGGAGGAGGAAGAGGAGGAGGAGGAGAGGAGGAGGAGGAGGAGGAAGAGAGGAAGAGGGGGAGGAGGGGAGAAGGAGGAGGAGAAGGTGGAGGGGGAGGAGGAAGAGGAGGAGGAGGAGGAGGAGGAGGAGGAGAGGAGGAGTGAGGAGGAGGAGGAGAGGAGGAAAAGGAGGAGGAGGAGGAGGAGGAGGAGGAGGAGGAGGAGGGAGGGGAGAGGAAGGCGTCCGCGAGGAGCGTGGAAAGGAGGAGGAGGAGGTGGCGGTGGAGGTGGAGGAGGAAGGAGGAGAGGAGGAGGAGAGGAGGATGAGGAGGAGGAGGAGGAGGGAGGAGGAGGAGGAGGGGGAGGAGGAGGACGAGGAGTAGGGGAGGAGGAGGAGGAGGAGGAGGAGGAGGAGGAGGAGGAGGAGGAGGAGGAGGCGGAGGGGGGGGGGGAGGAGGAAGAGGAGGAGGAGGAGGAGGAGGAGGAGGAGGAGGAGGAGGAGGAGGAGGAGGAGGATCGGCGCGGCATAGAGCGGTCCAGTCGAGCCAGGACCGCCCCGAGCGCGACCTCGCGCCCCACGCGAGGCCGCAGTGGCGACGAGGCCCCCCCGCCGCGTGAGGGCGACCGCCCCTAGCACCCCGCAAGCGGGGTCCTAGACGGCCGCACTCACCCCAGGCCCTCGGGCCTGGCGGCACCCACAGGCACGGGAGCCACGGAGGCCACACGGGCCCCCCCGCCGCCAGGGTCCGAGGCGAGTCCAGCAGCCCCGCCTGGCTTGGCCCCCTGGGGGCCTCCAGTGCGGGGCGTACGCGCAGCAGCGCCGTCGCTCAGCCCCGCCGCGTCACAGCCGCGGCGGTAGGCGGCCAGGAGCGAGGCGACCACGGAGCTCCGCCGCGCTGCCTCCGCCGCCTCCGCAGAGCCCGCGGCCGCTCCCTCTCCCTCCTCGCCCCCGCCAGCAGGGCGGTGAGCCCGCGGCAGGGCCCCCTGGTGGCGCCGCACTGGCGGCTCTTCCACCCCTATTGGGCCGCTCTCTGCCGCCTCAGCAGAGTCCGCGCCCTCGTCCTCGCCCCCGCCCGCAGGGCGGTGAGCCCGCGGCGGAGGCCCCTGGTGGCGCCGCGCTGGCGGCCCTTCCACTCCTCTTGGGCCGCTGGCGTCCCTTCGGCCTTCCCCATCGGCCTCGCCCTCCCCAGGGGTCGTGGGGGTCGCCGCGGCCTCTGCAGCTGCTCCAGCGGCGCACCAGTCCTCACCTCCAGCGCCGTCGCCGCCTCTGACGCCCTCCGCCGCCTCAGAGCCCCAGTCCTCACCTCTCATAGGTGGCACGCTCTGGCCACCGTCCTCGCCACGAGCGACGGGGCTCCCACTGATGGGCTCGGCGGGAGGAGGGGCGGGGCCAGCGCCCACCTCCTCTGCTGCTGCCGTCGGCTCGCCACCGCCAAGGCGCCGCAGCGTGACGGCAACCTCGCTCGCGATCCTGGGCGCGAGCCCAGCACGCAGGCGCGCTGCCCGCGGC